GCTAATGTTTTGTATTTTTAGTAGAGACGGGGTTTCACCATGTTGACCAGGATGGTCTCGATCTCTTGACCTCGTGATCCACCCGCCTCGGCCTCCCAAAGTGCTGGGATTACAGGCGTGAGCCACCACGCCCGGCCTGTTTTTTGTTTTTTTGAGATGGAGTCTTGCTCTGTTGCCCAGACCAGGGTGCACTGGTGGGATCTCGGCTCACTGCCTCCCGGGTTCAAGTGATTCTCCTGCCTCAGCCTCTGCCTCCCCAGTTCAAGTGATTCCTCTGTCTCAGCTTCCCAAGTACCTGATATTACAGATGCATGCCACCACTCTGGGCTATTTTTTTTTTTTTTGTATCTTTAGTAGAGACAAGTTTTCACCATGTTGGCCAGTCTGTTTTTGTTTTTGTTTGACATAGAGTTTTGCTCTTGTCGGCCAGGCTGGAGTGCAATGGCGCAATCTCAGCTCATCTCAACCTCTGCTTTCCAGGTTCAAGCAATTCTCCTACCTCAGCTTCCCAAGTAGCTGGGATTTCAGGCATGAGCCACCACACCCAGCTAACTTTGTATTTTTAGTAGAGATGGGGTTTCACCATGTTGGCCAGGCTGGTCTCAAACTCCTGACCTTGTGATATGCCCCCTTTGGCCTTCCGAAATGCTGGGATTATAGGTGTGAGTAATTGAGGCCGGCGAGGCCTTTCGAATTCTGATGCCTGACTGACTCTACCCTAACCAGGACTCATGATTCAACCAGATCTGTGGCTCTTCGCAGAGACAGACGCAGTGTGTGATGACAGTTTTCCACACCCATATGATGGCATCCCCAACCAACTAGCATCCCAAATTCCCTAGTTCTCTGCCTGCCAAACTATCCTTGAAAAACCCTAGTCTCAGCCAGGTGTCAAGCACTTTGGGAGGCCCAGGTGGGTGAACCACTTGAGGTCAGGAGTTGGAGACCAGCCTGGTCAACATGGTGAAACACTGTCTCTACTAAAAATATTTTTAAAATGGCCGGGTGTGTTGGTGCATGCCTGAAATCCAAGCTACTCAGGAGGCTGAGGCAGAAGAAGTAGCTTGAACCTGGGGGTGCAGGGGGAAGTGGAGGCCACAGCAAGCCAAGATCACACTACTACACTCCAGTCTGGGCAACAGAGCAGGACTTCATCTCAAAAACAACCAAAAAAAAGTAAAATCCTTGCCTCGAAGTTCTTCCTGACCTTCTAAATGGCTAGCTTTGTGTTAATTAAACTCTTTCTTTACTGGAGTACTGCTCTCTCCATGAACTGGCACTAAAAACCTGTTGGGTGATTACAGGGTAATTAGACACGAGGGTCTGGGGCCTGGGGGATGGTCTAGTACTGAGAAAACTGGGTAACTGTGGAAACTGGGCTGGACAGATTGGGAGGGCCGGGCATCCTGGGACTCGAAGCCCAAGGGGCACTTGCTCAGGCACCACCAGCCCCAGGTGGCCGGGGATGTGGTCAGGGCTCTGCTTCTTGCCATCTGCCCCCAGCTATGCTTGCCCTGGGGTTCCTCCTTCTCAGGAGGGCTCCCTGAGTACTTTGGGTATTCAGTGGAATCAAGAGAACCCCCTACAGGACCACTGTCCACGTCCGCATGTCAGTCGGTGGGTTCTCTGAGCAAATCTACATCAAGGGGCATGGCTGGGCACCGTGGCTCACACCTGTGATCCCAGCACTTTGGGAAGTGGAGGCAGGAAGATCACTTGGGAGCCCAAGAGTTCGTGATCAGCCTGGGCAACACCGTGGGACCCTGTCTCTACAAAAACTAAAAGAAAATTAGGACCAGGCATGGTGGCTCATGCCTGTAATCCCAGCACTTTGGGAGGCCGAGGTGGGCGGATCATGAGGTTATGAGATCAAGACCATCTGGCCAATATGGTGAAACCCTGTCTCCACTAAAAATACAGAAATTAGCCAGCCATGGTGGCATGCACCAGTAGTCCCAGCTACTCAGGAGGCTGAGGCAGGAGGATCACTTGAATCCTTGACCTCACTTGAACCTCAGGCCTGGGCAACAGAGCGAGACCCTGTCTCGAAAAAACAAACAAAAAATCCAGGGATGCAACTGTTCCTTCACCCCGTAGTCACCTGTACCTGTCTAGGGACTACGCTGGGCAGAGAACCACAGGACTGAAGGAGGGGAAGGCTCTGCTGTCAGCCGCTCAATCACAGCTGACAAGGCTTGTCCCCACACGCATGGGATTAGCATCAGACGAGATGGCCACATACCTGGGAGAGGCGGCTGCATGCGATGGCCATAGCCTGGCTGGCCCTTCTCTGCTGTTTGTTTGTTTGTTTGTTTGTTTTTGAGACAGAGTTTCGCTCTTGTTGCCTAGGCTGGAGTGCAGTGGTACAATCTTGGCTCACTGCAGCTTCTGCCTCCTGAGTTCAAGTAATTCTCCTGCCTCAGCCTCCTGAGTAGCTGGGCTTACAGGCATGCACCACCACACCCAGATAATTTTATGTTTTTAGTAGAGATGGTGTTTCTCCATGTTGGTCAGACTGGTCTTGAATTCCCGACCTCAGGTGATCTGCCTGCCTCAGCCTCCCAAAGTGCTGGGATTACAGGCATGAGCCACCTCATCTGGCCATTTTTTTTTTTTTTTTTTTTTAGACGGAGTTTCGCTCTTGTTACCCAGGCTGGAGTGCAATGGCGCGATCTCGGCTCACCGCAACCTCCGCCTCCTGGGTTCAGGCAATTCTCCTGCCTCAGCCTCCCGAGTAGCTGGGATTACAGGCACGCGCCACCATGCCCAGCTAATTTTTTTTTTTTTTTTTTGTATTTTTAGTAGAGACGGGGTTTCACCATGTTGACCAGGATGGTCTCGATCTCTTGACCTCATGATCCACCCGCCTCGGCCTCCCAAAGTGCTGGGATTACAGGCTTGAGCCTCAATTTTTGTGCCTCAGCCTCCCGAGTAGCTGGAATTACAGGTGCCTGCTACCATGCCCAACTAATTTTTGTATTTTTAGTAGAGATGGAGTTTCGCCATGTTGGCCAGGCTGGTCTTAAACTCCTCACCTCTGGTGATCCGTCCTCCTCAGCCTCCCAAAGTGCTGAGGCAGAGTCTCCAGAAGCCTCTGGCTACGTGCTGTGCAGCTGGTGGTGGTGGGCATCCCGACCCGGCAGGCCCTTCCTGGCTGGCTATTCTGCCTCCGCAAGGCCAGGCCTTGGCCCTGGACTCAGCCTGGGAAACCACAAGTAAGCAGCACTCAAAGCTGAGGCACTTTCCTGCTGTTATTGTTTTGACCCCCACCCCAGTTCCTACTGTAGGAACTGAGGTGGGGGTCAAAATAATAATAGGGATGTGGGCAGGAGGCACATGGGGACTTCAGAAGGCAGCGGATTCCTCACTCAGGCCTGTGCACCTTGCTCCTCTGCGGCCCTGGGGACGGCGGCTCATTCGTGGCACAGAGCAGAGGCCCTATGGATGCCTTTGATCGCTGCTGCTCCATGGGAAGGAAGCCAGGAGGAAGCTGGGAGGTCGCTCCACCAGCCTCCAGCCCAGGGGACAGGAGAGGGCAGGCCCCAAGAAGCGGTGCTGATGGGGCAGGGGCAGAGTGATGAGGGGAAGGGAGCGAGCATGAGACCAGGAGCCCTGCTGTCCGTGGCCTTGCCACCAATACCACCTGCCTCGCCCCATCCTTGTCCTCATCTTCCTTCGGAATCTTTCTTCTCTTACCAGGCACCTTCTGAAGCTCACACCCAACCTAGAGTCCTCAATACCTGCAACCCCCAAAGGGAAGTAGCCAGGTCAGCTGGGCAGGGGCCCAGCCTCAGGCAGCAGCATCCTGGAAGGCTGGACCTGGCGGTGACCTCTGCTCTCAGAGCTGGGAGGTCCTGAGTCCCCTGGGAGCTGGCCCGCCCCTGACGTTTGATGGGGCCCCAGACCAGAGGCTTTCCCGGTCACGGGGCCTCCTTCCTCCTCCGATGGTCCTGCCAAGACTGGAGGGAGCAGAAGCAGGGAGGAAGGCCAGGCCCTTCAAAGGCCCGTGTGCAGGCCGACTCAAGGACAGTCAGAAAAAGCGTCTGGAGAGCAGAACCGTCCTAGGTGGCCCTCAGGTGGCAGGAATGGACCCATCTTCCCCAGTGCCTGCCTGCCCACTCCCTGTGGCTACAGGGGCCCCTCTGCAGAAGTGGGGCCTCTTGCGCATGAGAACAGGCTTTACTGCCAGGCCAGCCACACTGGATTACAGTCTGGTGCCCTGCCTCCCTGGGGTGGCTGCCCACGCGGTGAAAAAAGCCAGGCTCCCACCTTGGCACGGCACCCCCCCAGCACTTTCTTCCAGATCCTTGCGGCCAAGCTCAGGGGCTCCTCTGTTAGTTCCTCTGCACCTCCAGCCCTTTTTTGTGGGAGCCTGAGAACCACCCAGCCCAGAACAGGCCATGGTCAGTGCTGAGGCCCTGCTCCCTGCAAATGCCAACATGCACAGCCCAGGCTGCCCGGGGCCAGGGGCAGTGTGCCAGCAGCTCAGGGAGAAGGCAGCTGTAGCCAAGTCTGCCTGAAGAAAGAGTTTTACACCTTTGGGGGGTCTGATTGCAGGAGGAGCTGGCGCTGAGAGGCTGGAGGCTCAGGGGAGGTGGCAATGCTCAGGCCGAAGGGTCTCGGCAGGCTAGAATCTTAACTATCTCTTCTGAGTCCCCCGCACTGAGCACCCCGGGTGGACCGGGAGCTCAGCATGTCACAGCCCCATCCTGAGTGACCCTCGTGCCCTTGAGATGCTTGTGGAGCAGTGGCCTTGCCTGGAGGAGGGACCCCTACTCCTGTGAGCATGGTAGGAGAGCTCAGGGCAGTTCCAAGAAACAATGTGGGGGAGTCTGGGCTCAGAGGGTGTGGCTGCACGATCCGTGAGACCAGCCTGCAGAGGGCAAGGACCTGACCAGGGCCTGGGGAGAGGCGGCTCCTGCTACACAGGCCAGGCCATGGCTTTGGCTCAGGGAAGCATCCATACAAAGAGAAGTTCTCAAAGAATTAATGCCAACTCATTACATAAAAATGTTTTATTACACAAGCCACATGTAGGTCCCAGGCCCCGGGGCTAACCCTACAGCCCCAACCAGTCCCTGGCTCCAAGCCTGGTCCTTGCCCCTGACCCCCGCCTGGAGAGCCAGGGTCTCCTATGGAGTGTGTGAGTGTCCACGAGTGTGCTGGCACGGGGGCCTCCTGGGCTGCAGCATTCAGGCACAGTGGCAGCAGAGGTAAATACAGGCACGGGGGGCGGGGTCCCCACCTGCCCAGGCTCAGGAGCCACAAGGGTCTGCACAGTCCTTTCTGCTGTGGAACACGTGGTAGACGCTGACAGGAGGGAACATGGAGATGGCTCCCAGCAGAGAGCCCACCTGGATGGCCACACCGGCTGCCAGCAATGCCGGTCGGCCCCCGCCATGCAACAGGGAGCTGGCGGCCACCTTCACGTAAGAGAACACGCCCAGACACAGCACCCATGACAGCACCTGAGGGACACAGCAGCAGCTGAGTGTGAGACGCACCTGCTCCAGGGAAATACCCCCGCCCCGTGTCATGCCCCCCCGCCCCGTGCTCACCACGAGGACCACTCCTGCCAAGGTGCCCACAAGGGGGGGGCAGGGGCTCAGGATTGCCAGTGCCATCAGGTAGGCCCCAAAGAGCACGCCCAGCAGACAGAGGCCGCCCAGCCCTGCCAAGGACCTGCAGTGGGTGAGCAAAGTCAGGGCTGACTGTGCCAGGACCTGGCTCCCAGCCCTGAGTTCCACCCACCCAGGGGCTGGGGGGTGTTTGTGTACCTGCACAGCACACCCATGGCCAGGAAGCAGGCGAGGGGATTGGCAGCACTGCCCAGTACCACAGCTAGGTGGTAGGCCAGACGCCCGTAGGGTAAGCTGGAAAAGCTCTGCACAGCAGGCAGCACGCCGTTGGTCAGTGCGTTGGTGGTGGCCAGCAGGCCCAGCAGGCAGGCGCTGCGGGCCGAGAAAAGCCCATAGGCCTTAGGGTCTGGACCAGGGGGGGTGCCTGCTGCCTGGCTTGGTGGCTCCTGCAATGGCAAGGCCTCTTCCTCTGCTCCTGGGGTTTCCACCTGGAGGCCTGATCCTAAGCCCTCTGTGGGTACAGACGGTGGTGACGGCAATAGCAGCAAGAGACCCTGGAAGGCAGCAGCTGAAGTGACCAGAAGGGTGGTCAGGGCCCAGAAGAAGGTGCTGGCCGGAAAACGTTCAGGAAAGTTGAGCGGGGGACCGGGGGTGCCGTTGGTGGGGGCTGGTGGGCACTCGAGGCGGCCCACACCCTGCACTAGGGCCAGCACACAGGGCAGCAGGGCACTCAGGCCCTGACCCAGGAAGAACGACCGTAAGAAGTGAGGTGGCAGGTGGCTCAGGAAGGGCAGGAAAGTGACATTAGAGGCACAGCATGCCAGCGCCAGCACGAAGGTCAGTGCTAGGAAGGCCACGGAATGCAGCTGTCCTGCCACTGGGGCCACATGGTGCCACAGAGAGGCCAGCAGGGCTGCACCCACCATGCTCAGCACCTGCACCACACGGATGGGGACCCGCTCGCCCTTTCCTGGGACCAGCCGCCTCCAGAGGGTCACCACCAGCAGACCCAGGTTCCCCAGAGCCACCAGCACAGAGAGGTAGGAGGGGAGGTTCCAACCTGCAGGGAAGGGAGGAGGCCATGTCAGGGGCACGATGCCCAAGGGAAGCCAAAGCCCACCTCCCTGGGCCCCCCTGCACCGCCTCCCACTCACCCTCGGGAAGGTCTCTGACCACCACAGGTAGCTCCACCCAGATCCCATTGACCGCAGCCCAGGAGCCCATGCCGAAGAGAGCCACTAGCAGGTGGGTCAGCAGCGGACGGCCGGGCGTGGGTGCTGCCATTCAGCCCGAGGCGAGGCCCCTCCAGGTCAGGGCAAAGGTCACAGCCAGTTCTTTTCCCACGGAGGTCCAGAGACGCTTGACTCTTCTGGGAACTTAAGACCCCTTTCAGCTTCAAAGAAACAGACCAGCATGGCGGACACAGAGCCGGAGTCAGAACAGGGTGAGACCACCACCAACAGGCGAGCGGGAGGAGCCCCGGGCAGGAGTGGGGATGGGGGCATCGGCCAGAACGTGCCCAGCAGCGCCGCCCGCCGGGGTCCGGACAGCCCGCAGCCAGGAAAGCGGGGGGCCGGCCCGAGGTGCCGCAGCCCCGGGGGAGCAGGCGGGAAGAGCGGGCGGAGCCTCCTGCTCAGGGCGAGGGGGGCCGGAGTCACCGCCACCACCGCCCCCGCCGGACCCCCGGCCCGGGCGCCTACCCGCAGGAGCCACGCGCGCCCCACGGCCTCTGCCCGCCCGGGACCGCGGGGGGCGAGTCAGACGCGAGGGGAGCGGCCGGGGCGGCTCTGCTCGGAGGGGCGCCGCCCTCCCGCCGGCACGAGGGGGTGACCCGGGAGCAGTCCGGCCCCCGCGCTTCCCCGTCCCGCGCCCCGGGCGCCCCCGCTCCAACGCCGCCGTCCGGCCCGCGAACGCCACCTCCGTGCAGCCGGGACCGGAAACTCCCCCAGCGGCTCCGGGCCCGCCCCCAGCGCGGCCCGCGGCCGGAAGTCCCGCCCCGGAAGCGGGTCGTAGGCTGGCGCTGAGCGGAGCCGCGGGGTGTCCGTCTGTCAGCCCGCCCCTTCCGCTCCCCGGGACCGCCCCGAGCGCGGTCGGTGGCCATGGCTGCCGCGGCGTCGCGTCGGGTCCGGCGCAGAGCCCGGGCGGCGCCGCGGGCCCGCTCGGCCGACGACTGGTGGTGGGACCGGCTGGCGCCGAGCGGCTCGGGGTACCACCTGCTGCAGGCCGACAGCGTGCTGCTGGTGCTGTCCGAGCCCGGGCCCGCCCGACCCCGCGCGCAGCGGCGCGCTGCCCGCCGCGCTCCCCGGCAGCCGCCCCCGGGCCCCCGCGCCGCCGCCAAGCCCAAGCCCAAGGCCAGGCTGAGGCCCGAGCCCGCGCCCGCGCCCGAGGACGGGCCAGACGCGGGCTGGGGAGACCGCATTCCCTTGGAAATCCTGGTGCAGATTTTCCGGTTGCTGGTGGCGGCGGAGGGGCCCATGCCCTTCCTCGGCAGGTAACGCTGCTGCGGGCCCGCCGCCGAGCTCAGGGGCTTGGGCCAGACGAGGTCCGAGCGGTGGCCCGGGCGGGGGCGGAGGGCGAAAGCATCGGAGCGCACACCCCGCCGTCCGAGAGCTCAGTCCCTTAGGCGCCCAGTTGGAGCCTCAGGGGCCTGGCTTTGAGCCGGGTATCCACTGCTGCGAGAGGGGGGCATCGCCTACTGAGGGGCCGGTGCCCTCAGCAGCGCTGTTCTCCCAGGGCTGCGCGCGTGTGCCGCCGCTGGCAGGAGGCCGCCTCCCAACCCGCGCTCTGGCACACCGTGACCCTGTCGCCCCCGCTGGCCAGCCGGCCTGCCAACGGCAGGGTCAAGGCGGAGAAGAAGCTCCTTGCTTCCCTGGAGTGGCTTATGCCCAGTCGGTGAGGGGTTCCCTCTTTTCCTTCTCCCCTGGCTCCAGGCCCCTTTCGTCTCCCTGCACCAAGGTTTTGGGTGGGAAGTACTCGTGTGGGAACATGAGTGCAGCTCTGCCTCTGCTGTCGGCCCAGGTTTTCACAGCTCCAGAGGCTGACCCTCATCCACTGGAAGTCTCAGGTACACCCCGTGTTGAAGGTGAGAGCTTCAGGCTGCCCTGCACACCAGCTGTGACCCTCTGGGACTGTTCAGTACTCTAGGAAGTGGGTCAGGCACTTTGGGGGCCCAACGCTGCTCCATGAGGATCCCTGCTTGGTTCTCCTTTCCTGCTGTTTCCTCCAGCAGGGAGGTGTCAGAGGCAGGGACACCCAGGTAGGCCTGACACGGGCAGAAAGGAGGTCACAGCTAAGGTGGTAAAGTGGGGTTGCCACCAGCCACCTGTCTGCTTCCCTTGTTGATCTTAGCCTGCCCTTTCCCAACCCCAGCTGGCCGTCTGTCTCCCCGCAGCTGGTAGGTGAGTCCTGCCCTCGACTCACCTTCCTCAAACTCTCCGGCTGCCACGGTGTGACTGCTGATGCTCTGGTCATGCTAGCCAAAGCCTGCTGCCAGCTCCACAGCCTGGACCTACAGCACTCCATGGTGAGCCCTGTGTCCCAAGGGGCCCTGAAAAAGCCCAGGCCGGGGTGACAGGTTCTCTTGTACTGGGGCCCCAGGTGGAGTCCACAGCTGTGGTGAGCTTCTTGGAGGAGGCAGGGCCCCGAATGCGCAAGCTGTGGCTGACCTACAGCTCCCAGACGACAGCCATCCTGGGCGCGCTGCTGGTAGGTTGGCATTGGTGGGAGCAAAGCCAGATGCTGAGCTGGGGACTGCCAGACCACTGACCCCGTGACGCCCCCCTACCTCTGCAGGGCAGCTGCTGCCCCCAGCTCCAGGTCCTGGAGGTGAGCACCGACCTCAACCGCAATACCATTCCCCTCCAGCTGCCTGTCGAGGCTCTGCAGAAAGGCTGTCCCCAGCTCCAGGTACCTAGTTCCCCACCCCTCCCACCTGTGACACCCTCCCCCATCTACAGCCTAGACCTTGTTCCCAGGTGCTGCGGCTGCTGAACCTGATGTGGCTGCCCAAGCCTCCTGGACGAGGGACAGCTCCCGGGCCAGGCTTCCCCAGCCTGGAGGAGCTCTGCCTGGCGAGCTCCAGCTGCAACTTTGTGAGCAACGAGGTCGTGGGCCGCCTGCTCCACGGCTCTCCCAACCTGCGCTTGCTGGATCTTCGTGGCTGTGCGCGCATCACGCCAGCTGGCCTTCAAGATCTGCCGTGCCGGGGTCAGTGGTCCTGGGTGGTGACCGGCTCGGGGAGGTGTGGGGGCCCTTGCCACCCAGCAGCTTACGCTCACTCCTCACTCCTCTCACCGCAGAGCTGGAGCAGCTTCATCTGGGCTTGTATGGCACCTCAGACCGGCTGACTCTAGCCAAGGAGGGCAGTCCCCTGTTGACCCGGAAGTGGTGCCACACCCTGCGAGAACTGGACTTGAGTGGCCAGGGGTTCAGTGAGAAGGACCTGGAGCAGGCTCTGGCTGCCTTCTTAAGCACCCCTGGGGGCTCGCATCCAGCCCTGTGCTCCCTTAATCTCAGGGGCACCAGGGTCACACCAAGCACAGTCAGGTCAGCATCCCCTCCCCCAGTCCCTGGAGCCAGTGTGGCTGTCACTGCGTCTGCCTGGGGCCTGAAGTGGTGTCCTGCCTGGCCTGAGACCTCCAGGGGTCAGAGGGGCATGCAAGCTGTCCAGGCCCCTCCGTGGGGTGGGCTTGGCCTCGGTGGCTGTGGGGGGCAGAGCCAGGTGTGGGCACCAGCAGGCAGAGTTCCCTAGCTTGGCCCAAGCCCTTCTGAGGCAAGTCTTCTGGGCAATAGCCCAACTTCCTGTGGCCTGCTCTGCCCACAGCTCTGTGATCAGCAGCTGCCCAGGCCTGCTCTACCTCAACCTGGAGTCCTGCCGCTGCCTTCCCCGGGGCCTGAAGCGGGCCTACCGGGGCCTGGAGGAAGTGCAGTGGTGTCTGGAGCAGCTGCTCACCAGCCCCTCATCCAGCTAGGCAGCCGCAGACCTGGGACACCTCAGCCAGCCTGTCCCCCACCCACCTTTGCCCAGTTTCAGATATTGGAGCATTTTGTTAAAATAAAACTTTTTTAGGAGCTCTGTGTGTGTGGTCCTCAGCCTAAGGTTGGGCAACGGGTTATACCCGATGGTGCCACTGGGGCTACAGCCAGCCCCGGAGCCTGTGCGTTGTGGGGTCAAGGTGGCCCAAGGGTTCTTGAGCCTGCAGGTGGCTGTGCCTTTGCCTGCCAACTGCGGGATCCGGTGGCCAGGGGTTCAGTGACAAGGACCTGGAGCAGGCCCTGGCTGCCTTCTTAAGCACCCTTGGGAACACTGGTGAGCTGTCGGTGGTTGTATGTGGGTGTAGAGGTGGGGCCCTGCCCAGCCGTGGGGTTCATTGAGGGGTCTCTGCCTGCAGATTTCTCTGCACCTCAGGCCTGGGGTGTCCACCCATCCACCCTTCAGGTGAGGACTGTGAACAGGCCATACAGGGGCCTCCAGTGCGTGGACTGGCGAAGAAGCTCATTCCCACTGTGGGACCTCAGTCCAGCACTCCCTAAGTGGTGGTCAACAGAGTGGCCCCTTCTAGAACCCGCCCAGAACTTCTAGAACGCGTGCGCGGTCCACCCTGGGCCGCTGATTGGCCTTGCTGCCCTGCCCTGTCTGTGAGCTCCTGCTCCTTCTTGGGCCTGCAGCCCTGGAGAATTTGCTCAGCCAGGTAGGAGCGCCGCTGTGGGCAGTGGGCGGCTGCGGCGGGCGAGCGCAGGCTGACCGCCTCTGCTTGACCCAGATGCCTAAGGGGCAGGTCCATAAGGGCCGGACCCGCGGCCTGCTCGCGACCTCCTTCGGCTGGCGCTTCCGGCTCTGGTCCCTGGGACTCTTCTGCCCGGAGCGCCACCTCGCCAGGCGCCTTAAGAACAACAGCTTCTTCCCGTTCGAGCAGCAGCAGCCCAACGGTGCGCGCAGGGCGGGGCGCGTCTGGGGAGGAGGGAGCCGGGCGGAGGCCGGAATGGAGCGGAGCCGGGTGGGCAGGGCCAGGGGCCCTGGGCGGGGCCGGCCCGTGCTCCCCGGGTCCGAATCGCAGCCGGCTAGACGCAGCTGCCGCCCCGAGCCCTGCGCGGACCCAGCCGCTCCGGGCCAAGCCCTGGCGCCGCCACCCCGGCTGCGGGGGGCCCGGGCGTCCTCACACGCCGCGCCGCCCCTAGTCTTCGTGCTCGAGTACTACCTGGACACGCTGTGGAAGGGGATGCTGCTCTTCGTCGTCTGCGTGGTCCTGGTCAGCGTCAGCTCCCTGAGAAAGGTGTGCGCTCCCGGGCCCCACCCCACTGCCCTCCGCCCCCGCGGGCCGCCCCGCACCCGCTCAGACACTCCCCGGGCGCCCGCCCACAGGTGCAGAAACAGGAGACCTGGGTCTTCCCCGCGTACGGCGTGGCCGTGGGCCTGTGGATGGTGGTCTCCTCGCTGCCGCGGCGCCGCCTGGTGCTGAACCACCCGCGCGGCGTGTACCACTTCTCCATCCAGGGCCGCGCTGTGTGCCAGGGCCCCTTGCACCTGGTCTACGTGCGCCTGGCGTTCAGCTCCGACGGTGATGCCCGGGACGGACCGGGATGGGGAGGCCACCTGGGAGCGCCGAGGGGCGTGCAGGCCGGCTGAGCCCACTCTTCCCGCAGCCTACGGAAGGTGCTTCTTCCAGCTGGTCCTCGGCGGCCACAGGTTGGAGCCGCTGGTGCTGGTGCAGCTGTCGGAGCACTACGAGGTGGGGCCCGCCCCGACACGCGGCCCTGGGCCGGGGGGCCACGGAGAGGGCGCCGGGGCTGCGGACAGGACTGGGAATGCTGCCTGGAAAGGGAAGGGGTCGCCCTCGTGGCGACTGGGGTCTGTCCTGTTCCGGCCCGAGTTGAGCGCCACCTGCCCCCACAGCAAATGGAATACTTGGGCCGTTACATGGCCCGGAAGCTCAACATCAACTACTTCGACTACATGGCCACTTCCTACCGGCACGTGGTTCGCCACTGGCCACCCTCTAGCGCCCGCACCGTGTCGCACAAGAGCCTCGTGGGCAAGCACAGCTCCTCTCAGTCCAACCTGGAGGTGTGACTCCGAGGGCCACCTTCACCCCAGGACTGCGTTCTCCCCAACCTCCCAGCGCCCCACTCTGGGGCAGATCAAATACGAGTCCCACTCACTGGCCTTCCTTTCATTAAAGCTGTCTCAGCTTCCACACGGGTCATTTTCTGGGGGCAGGGGAGGTGCTCCGGTGCCTATGGCTTCCACCACGGTGCACTCCTAGGACCTTAGGGAGCCTGTGCCTTCCAGGCGACTGAAGCAAACCCCAGAGCTTGGGTTTGAACACAAGAACAGCTGGGAGCGGGGGATGGAACACAGCCAGGCTGCTGGGTTGGGCCCACCACTTGAGAGGCTGGGAACTCCTGCCCCTCTTAGCCAGCAGCACTTAACTTGTCCTCTCTGAACTCAGAGGTGCTGACCAATGCGTGGAATCCAGGAGTCAGAATCTGATTGGTCCATGCTGAGCCCGGTGCCCTCTGCTAGTCCAACCAGCAATGGGGTGGGGTACAGCTAGACAAGCCCTGTGCCTGGGGGCGCATGCTTGGCTCATAACCACAAAGCTGTTGCCACTTGCCTCCGAGGGGGTGAGTGTGAGAGTCCCGGGCCAGTGTCCAGGGCCTCCTAGGAGGGAGAATGTGCAGCACCCCTGGCACCCATTCTTTGTGCCCGCTGGAGCCTTCACCCAGCGGCCCTGACACCCACTCCCTGTTCCCGCTGGAACCCCTGCCCTGCGTCTCTGGCACCTGCTTCCCGTCTGCCCCCCGCCCCTGACAACCGCTTCCCATTCCCGCTGGAACCCCTGCCCCATGCCTCTGACACTTGCTCTCCGTCCCCCGTGGAACCAGGCCCATGCTCCCTTGTCCAGTGGATCCCCCAACTCTCACTGCAGCACCTGAGGCCTCCTGGGTGCTGGCGGCTGTTGTGGAAGCTGAGAAGGCTGTAGGCCATAGGGTCCCAGGGGAAGCAGCACCTGGCTTTCCAGGTCTTCAGGCAATGTCAGCTGAGCGTCCCTGCATCCAGGAGCAGCTACATAATTTGCAGGGCTCCATGCCAAATCGAAGTTTGGAGCCCATAGTTAGAAAGTTATTGAGTGGGGTGCAATGGTGTATGCCTGTAGTCCCAGCTGCTCAGGAAGCTGAGGTGGGAGAGCTTGAACCCAGGAGTTCAAGGCTAGCCTGGACAACATAGTGAGACCCCAGTCTCTAAAAAAATAAACAATAAAAATAAATTTATTAAGAATTTTGCCGGGCGCGGTGGCTCAAGCCTGTAATCCCAGCACTTTGGGAGGCCGAGGCGGGTGGATCACAAGGTCAAGAGATCGAGACCATCCTGGTCAACATGGTGAAACCCCGTCTCTACTAAAAAATACAAAAAAAATTAGCTGGGTATGGTGGTGCGTGCCTGTAATCCCAGCTACTCAGGAGGTTGAGGCAGGAGAATTGCCTGAACCCAGGAGGCAGAGGTTGCGGTGAGCCGAGATCGTGCCATTGCACTCCAGCCTGGGTAACAAGAGCGAAACTCCGTCTCAAAAAAAAAAAAAAAAAAAAAAAAAGAATTTCAAGATAGGCTGGGCATGGTGGCTCACACATGTAATTCCAGCACTTTGGGAGGCCGAAGTGGGCGGATCACTTGAGGTCAGGAGTTTGAGACCAGCCTGGCCAACATGGTGAAACAGTCTCTACTAAAATACAAAAAAACTAACTGGGTATGGTGGTGTGTGCCTGTAATCTCAGCTTTTCAGGAGCCTGAGGCAGGAGAAGCACTTGAACCTAGGAAGCAGAGGTTACAGTGAACCAAGATAACACCACTGCACTCCCGTCTAGGTAACAGAGTGAGACTCCAACTCAAAAAAAAAATTTCAAGATGGCAATAGCATATAATTTAAACCAAGTATGGGCCAGGTGTTGTGGCTCATGCCTGTAATCCCAGCTCTTTGGGAGGCCGAGGAGGGTGGATCACAAGGTCAGAAGATCAAGACCATCGTGGCTGATATGGTGAAACAGTCTCTACTAAAACACGAAAAACTAACTGGGCATGGTGGTGTGTGCCTGTAATCTCAGCTATTCGGAGGCTGAGGCTTGAAATCACTTGAACCCTGGAGGCAGAGGTTGCAGTGAGCTGAGACTGCACCACTGCACTCCAGCCTGGGCAACACAGAGCAAGACTCCATCTCAAGAAAACAAACAAACAAAAATAGCTGGGTGTGGTGGCAGGGGCCTATAATCCCAGCTACTCGGGAGGCTGAGGCAGGAGAATCACTTGAATCCAGGAGGCAGAAGTTGCAGTGAACCAAAATAGTGCCACTACACTCCAGTCTAGGTGACAGAGTGAGGCTCCCACTCAAAAATAATAATAATAAATAAATTCCTTCCTTCCTTCCTTCCATCCCTCCCCCTCCCAAAAATAAATAAATAAACAAATAAATAAAATTCAAGATGGCAATAGCATAGAATTTAAACCAAGTATGGGCTGGGTGCAGTGGCTCCTGCCTGTAATTCCAGCACTTTGGGAGGCAGAGGCAGGTGGATCACTTGAGATTAGGAGTTTGAGACAGCCTGGCCAGCATGGCGAAAACCCAGCTCTACTGAAAATTAACAGGTGTGGTGATGTGTGCTGTAGTCCCAGCTACTCAGGAGGCAGGAGAATCACTTGAGCCTGGGAGGCAGAGGTTGCAGTGAGCTGAGATAGCACCATTGCACTCCAGCCTGGGCGACAGGGCGAGACCCTGTTTCAAAGGAAAGCAAAACAACAAAAACCCAAGTATGGGGCCATTCTGAGCCTGGGGCCCTCTGTGACTGCCCAGGTTGCAGGCCCAAGAAGCCAGTTCTGCCTGGAACCATGGCTTCTCTGCTTGACCCCCAATCCTAAGGGCACTCAAACTCAGTGGGCAACAGGCACCCTGGCCCATTTCTGGGCAGGATCTGGGGGCTACTGAAATGCCTTTAGATTGTCCCTGGGAGCAACTGTTAAGAGCCCAAGGGCAGAGACCCCACCCCCACCCCGCAATACCTGGAAGATGGGGCTCAGGATGTCCTAGAGTGGCAGTACCCAGCTTAGGTTCGGGTTGAGGGCTCAGTTTCGCTCAGGCAGGGCAAGTCCCTCCTCCCCTGGAGCTGGTGATCTAAGGGGAACCCAGAACAAAGATGGTTGGAGGGCCAGGGTCCCTCCGACTGGGGAGCTCTGGGGGAAGGGCGTCCTGGGCAGCACAAGGGCGTGATGCAGGACTGTGTGAGCTGGGTGTGCTCAAGAGGCTCCAAGGGGGTTGGGATGGTCAGAGAAGAGAGGATGAGGGAGGAGGAGGCCTGAGATGAGGTGGGAAGGGCGGGCGGTGTCCTTGGAGGCCACGGCTCCGAGCTTTAGCCCTGTGTGCCACTGGAATCTGTTGGAGAGCTGTAAGCAGAGATGCACTCCCAGGGAGGGAGTGGTGGGGAAGGACCAGGAGGCTGCAGGAGTTGTGCAGGGAGGAAAAGGAGCTGGAAGGGCAGAGGGGAACAGACAGGAGCACAGATCACAGGCAGTTCGGAGCTACCGCGTCGCTGATGGGATTTGCTGCTGGGTGGGAAGTGAGCTGGGAAGAAAGCTGACTTGGGGAGTTCAGGGTTTCTGGCCTGGGCACTAAGGCTGGGGGCCATGGGGAGGAGGGGTTGGCAGCCGGGAGCTCTGAGTTAGACAAGGCCTGAGGAGCTTATGGGACCTTGCAGGGGAGATTTTAAAAAGGCAAAAAGGCAGGAAGGCTCTGAGGAGAAAGGAAAGGGGGAAGCACAGACCTGAAACCATCATGCCCTGGGAGGTCCCTAAAGCCAAAGCCCTAGGTGAGAGGTCCCTGGCAACACAGCGGATGGAGGAGGCCAAGGACGGAGCGGTGGACAGAGGGAAGAGGCCCAAACGGAGGAAGAGGGAGCCGTGTTAAGTAAAATGGGCACTCACAGAGGAACACCCCTGCAGGGACAGCCTCAGGGAAGGGGCCTCCTGCAGTGAGGACTGGGGGGCGGGGAGAACCAGAGGGAAGAGGGAAGAGGAAAGTCGAGATTACACAGGAAATTTCACTGTCACGGGCAGAGAAACCAGGGGGCACCTTGCAGGAGGGAGGTCTTGCTTGTTGGTGTGTAGGTGAACATAGCCCTATTGATATTTATTTTATGATTTATTTATTTATTTTTTTGAGACCAAGTCTTGCTCTGTTGCCCAGGCTGCTGTGCAGTGGCTCCATCTCGGCTCACTGGAACCTCTGACTCCCGGGCTCAAGTGATTCTCCTGCCTCAGCCTCCTGAGTAGCTGAGATTACAGACTTGAGCCACCAGACCTGGTTAATTTTTGTACATTTAGTAGAGACCGGATTTCACCATGTTGGCCAGGCTGGTCTTGAACTCCCGACCTCAGGTGATCCGCCCGCCTTGGCCTCCAAAGTGCTTGGATTACAGGTGAAAGCCACTACGCCAGGCCTACTCTGCTTTTTTTAAACAAACAAACAACAACAAGATAGAATTATGGAGCTCTATGGATGTGCAGTTGCCCTACTAGTCCTGGATGGCTTCCATTGAACTCTGTTTATGTCAAAGAGACAAATGTCTAGTTTAAGCTACTATTGTTTGGACTTTTTTCTTTTTGAGATGAAGTCTTGCTCTGTTGCCCAGGCTGCCATGCAGTGGTGCATTCTTGGCTCACCGCAACCTCCGCCTCCTGGGTTCAAGCAATTCTCCTGCCTCAGTCTCCTGAGTAACTGGGATTACAGGGAGCACCACCACAACCAGCTAATTTTGTATTTTTTTTTTTTTTTTTTTTTTTTTGAGACGGAGTTTCGCTCTTGTTACCCAGGCTGGAGTGCAATGGCGCGATCTCGGCTCACCGCAACCTCCGCCTCCTGGGTTCAGGCAATTCTCCTGCCTCAGCCTCCTGAGTAGCTGGGATTACAGGCACGCGCCACCACGCCCAGCTAATGTTTTGTATTTTTAGTAGAGATGGGGTTTCACCATGTTGACCAGGATGGTCTCGATCTCTTGACCTCGTGATCCACCCGCCTCGGCCTCCCA